GGGAGGGTAGGTCTGGACTGGGAGTACTATGCTGCAGATGAAAAACACTAATGAACACTTTTGCATACCAATTGGACAAATGTGTCTTGAAAGTAGTTAATTCCCTGTGCACATGCTAGGTCAGCAGCAATCCGTTTTGTTTTTCTATCTGTCATCAATCAACAGTATGGTGGAACTGTACTTAGTTGAGGAAACCTGCCCTACAACACACTTCTATTTTTGCTTCTTTACACACAGAAAGATTTGTAGTCTCTCACATACACATGCTGTGTCAGAGAGTAAAAAGAAAGACACTGTTCTTGTCTTGCAGCAATATTCATGATGCTGTCATTCACAAATATTCTTTGTTGCACATCAGGTGGGAAGTGAGTAGATGTGTATTTATTTCCCCTTTGCACCTTTTATATTTTTGGGTAGGCCTCTGATGTAAGTTGGCTCTTCTAAATTATTCTTTTACAAAAGCTACCTAAGGATGACTGCAGCAGTTCAAAATAGCCTTTTAAAGTGAACCTCTCTATACAGGAGATATTTTCCAGGGGGTTCCAAATGCTATATTGCTCATTTATATTAATGGGTTAATGTAAAGGGGCTGAAGCAGAATAAAACAAAATTGTGCATTGTCTTTTCTTCCCATTAAACATTCTTTTAGTGTTAGCACACTGGGCAACTGACCAGTCAAATAGTGTCAATTAACTGGTCAACTTAGTGCATATTTTTTGTTCAGTCAAAGATTATAGCAATTTTACCAAAAGAAACACCATTTTTGTAGTTTTCTTGACAGAAATGTATATATTACACATTTATTAATGGGAAATTTACACTTTTTCTGTGTATTATTTGGACCTATTGGCAATTTTTTACAATTTTTGACCGATATGTGACCAGTCAATTGACCAAACTTTATTTGACAGGTCAAATATCCAACCCTATATTCTTTTACCTCTTTCTCTCTGGACCTAATGATTTGTTCTAATCAGCCTGTGCTTGGCACACAACTAGAAATGGTAACAACAAAGGTGGTTTGTGCTGCATATGTGCAACCGTGCAATGCTGGGGCTGCTTTGGCCCCAAGCAAAATGTAGAGGAGCCTCAGAGCTATTCTAGCTTTCATATAGTTGCCTCTTATCCCAAGATACTACTTTGGCATGGAGGAACCCTTTTCCCTTGGACATAGCCCTTGAATGGGAAAGATACAAAACAGGGATTAGCATAGAGCCACAATAGCTAAATACCAACTGGAGTTTCCTCTGACACAGGAGTTGTTCCTTGTTGGCCGGATACAGAGACCTTGCAGCCTGTTGTACCTGCAGAGCAGGGAAAAGGTGACATATTACAAGCCATCGTCTGAGTAGTACTGTGCCTCACTATCCCTCTGGTCCTGATTGTGTGCAAAAGTTGGTTTATCACCATGTATCAACATTTTAAAATCTGATTTTTGTTTTTCGTCCTCAGCTCTACACCCTGTGTAACTTCCATACAAATTAAACTCTCTTATCTATCCTGATGCCTCACAAATCTACTTTTCTACTATAGATCAGTTACTGTCCAAAGGACAAATGCTTGTCCTTTTTAAATTTTTTGGAGGATGTCTAGCCATATATTGAGCTCAACATAAGTAAAAGAGAGCTCCTTAATTTTTTTCTCCCTACCCCTTCCTTCTATTTTCTTTTTTGATCATTGTGGATAACACCATCATCTTGCCTGTCACTCAGGCCCATAGTTTGGGCATTATCTTCAACATGGACCTTACTCTATGTCCTCATATCTGGGCTATGCCTAAATCTTATTCTTTCAGCATAACCTCTCCCAGATACGGCCTTTCCCTTATATTCACACAGCTGACATTCTTCTTCAGGGTTTTTTTTATTGTGTGTCTCAACTAGAAAATGATGCGCTAAGAGATGCCTTGGCCACATCACCCTTCCACTTTCCATCCCCCCTTGCCTCAATAAGCTACTTGTCTTCACTTTCAAGGCTTTTTGTGGCTTATCTGTACTATATTTGTCTTCTCTCATTCAGTGCTGAGGTCAACTCCACCCTCCTATCAGCCAGTTAATGGTGGCCTGTACTACGACTTGTTACATTTCCTAACATGCATGCTGCCCACATGGGAAGACCTCCCAGAAATGCCTGCAAAACTGAATCCTCTTCCTCCTTTGCTGTGATGCCTACAGAAAACTTGTCCCCAAAGTAAGCAGTGTGTTGATGGGCTGAGACAGCTGTCCGTCAAACTGACCAGGTTTGGATCATTGTTTTTTGTGTTACTCGGTCCTGTATTCATCTGTTTATTGTTTTATACTTTGGGCCACAAGCTCACTGGAAAGAGACTGTATGTTTGTTCTTGAGCACAGCGTTGTCCTAGGAACCCTACTGTGCCTAGGAATTTTAATCAGGGTTCCTATGCTTTTGGCATTGTATGGTAATACAAATAGTATTGAAAAAAATGAGTTAAGACTGCCTGAAGTCCATTTACCATGACTTGATTTCTTGCAGATTCAAAAAAATAATTTATTCAAACTGGTACAAGTTTAATATGTAAACAAGGCCTTACCCTCCCCTGCCACATCCCCCCTACTTCCCTTAAAGTCCTTTCCCCTATACCAGTGATCAGAGCCAAACCTAGGGGTGTGCGGGGCCCAGGGCATATCAGACTGTGCTGGGCCTATGCTGGGGGGGGGAGAGGGGTGGCAAGCAGCTGGAGTGAGGGAGGGGTGGAGGTGGTGAGCAACCAGAGCATGGAGCAGGGGAGGAGGGTGGCAAGCGGCTGGAGCACAAAGTGGTGGCGCCCTAAGCACATGCTAAAAGCACTGTCTGCGGGGGCCCCCAAAGCGTGGGGCCTGGGGCAGTTGCCCTGCTTCGTGCCCCCCCAAGGAACGACTCTGCCAGCGATGGTCAACCAAGGTGCCATGGCATTGTGGGGTGCTCTGAGATCCTCTGAAGGAACACAATGTTAGCACCATTAGGTGTGCAAACACAAATCACAAGATAAACCCAGACATTCAAATAGGAACCCATGGTGTTAAACACTTTCTGCCCTGTTGTGGTCTTCCCAAGTTCTTTGTAACAGAGAGATTCCTCCACTATGTATTTGTATTTAAAAAAATGAGTGAAAAACTAGGAGCTGGCATTATCCAACACAGGTGCCTCCATCTAAACAGACACGGCTTTCTGGGTAAATCTGGCATCTTTTATTAGACCAACTAAAATATTTTATTATTTTGGTTGGTTTAATAAAAGTTATCAGATTTTCCCAAATAACCTTGTCTGCCTATGCCCTTAGGCCAACACAGCTACAACCTATACTTCAGACTAAAAAGACTGAGAACCACTGCCCTACACAGTAGCTCCTGCACTCACTTTCTCTCTCTCTCTCTCAGTTTTTTATTCTCTGGGCATTTTGGCATGACTTCAAGTGAAATGTGGAGTCAGTTAAGCTGGGCCATACCCTGCTGGGGTCAAAGGTAAAGACTTTTGCAACTTGCTAGTATTGATTTACTTGTGCTTGCAGGATAGTGCCAGATAAAAAAAACAGTAAATGGTAGGGAGTCTGGTGGGATGTGGGGTACAAGGGAGGTCTCACATACACATGCATGTATGTGCTCACAGACACACTCACAGGCACATGGATATGCTCAGACACACAGACCAAATGTTCATGTTCACAGGCACACTCACAGATGCTCACAGGCACACATACACACTCAGACACACACTCACAAACACACTTTCACACAGATACACATGCTCATGCTCACACACACACTGAGACACACACAAACACGTTCACAGGCACATGATTTTACACAGGCACATGCTCACGCTCATACATGTTCACAGGCACACGCTCTCACACATGCTCAGAGGCACACACAGGTATGCGCATGCACATGCACGCAGGCTTTTACCCACACACACGCGGAGGCGCGCCCGCCCCGCCCGCGCGCGCGCCCCACGTCCCAGGCCCCGGTTGGCGCGGTAGCGGGCTGGCTGGCGCGGTAGCGGGCTGGCTGGCGGGCAGGCAGGAGCTCGCT